CCTCCGTAGGAAACACCGCATCTTTGCTCTTAAGAAGCTCGAGCCTCAGAGTCATTATGCTCTCCTTTACCGAGTGGGGCTGAGGCTCAGGCATTGAAGTACCTTCGAGCTCGCGAGGTGGGGTCTCCTCATCCTGATCCTCTTCCAGGTCAACAACCGGAGGTTGGGGGCGAACCTCCTCCCCTGGGAGCTCGACAGAAGATGGCTCTGGCACTGCGACCTCGAGTTCGGCAGGAACCAAAGAGGTAGCCTCCTCTCGACGGGACCTTTTCGAGGCCTTTCTCTTCTTCCCCTTCTGAACACTCTTTAAGAGGTTAGTAGCATCGACACCTGTCATAGCTTCTGCAAAAGAGAAGAAAAAGAGTTAGTTGCAAACTGAAGTAAATGCAAAAAGAAAAAAGGAGAAGTAATGTGTGTGCCAAGGTAGAGGCCTACCAGGAGGACTTAGCCCAGCTCGTACAAGCTTCTCCTCGGCTAGGAAATCTTCCATCTCAAGGCTGAGGTCCCTCCAAGAATGGATGACCGCCCTGGTCTTTGCATCCAGCCTCACCCCGGGGTCCTTAATGGCCGCTCGCTAGTGAGCTGGGAATGGCCATCCTTCAGTGTTCCAAACAAAGAAGTACCTTCTCTTCCAGGCGGATACCTTGTTCGGGTTACCGAACAGGACCTTGAACCTGGGGCGATGTGAGATATAGTAGCTCTGTCGGGTGTCCCCGTGCAGGCAAAAAAGAATTTTTCTTAATGGAACAAATTGAGTTAAAGATGTATAGAGTGAGAGGTCGTTTATACTGGTGGAAGAGTGAGGTCGTACCAACAATAGTACGGATGGAGTTCGGGTGTAGCTGATCAAAAGTGACGTTAAAAAATTTAATAATTTCTATGTTGAAGGGGTGGAGTGGGAAGCATAGCCCAGCTACGAGCTGCTCCTCAAAAACCACGAGCTCATAATGGTCATGGACCCAAGGGTACTGACCCAAAGGAATGCTAAAGACAAGAGTGTCGGGGAGACGATATCGAGCTATCAAGGACAACAACCTGTTCGAGGTCATCGTGGAAGGGCCGAAGTTGTCTGGATCCCGACCTTGAGTAGAAGACGAGACCCCCTCTCCAGAGGTCGGCCGCTCTACCTGAGGTTTGGGTTCCTCAAGCCGAAATGGCCTGACGTCAGGTAAAGGCATTTCTCCTAAAAGGTTTAAAGAGGAGCTCTCTAGCAAAGATCTGGCCTCACCGGTGGGAGCTGAGGACCGCACCTCGGCATCCCCGGGCTCGCTAGAATCACTAAGTAACCTATCTATGCTAGCACTAGACATATTGGACAGGAAAAGGAAAAGGGAACAACCAGTGAAAGAAGATGAACTCACCAAAAAAGGCGATAACAACCTCAGACACAAGGGGAGAGAATGGCGAGCTGAAGGACTCTGACGCGATCTCAAGAAAGCTCAATTACACGATTTATGGCGAGGATAATGGGCCCTTCATCCCCTATTTATAATCCACCACATCCGGGAATCGAGGTTGAGATCTGTGCGATCCGACAACTCCCATGAAAACCGGCTACACGCTACCCGAGGACGAAATCAGTTGAGCATACCCTTTGGCATCTACGGAATTTATAAACAGTGTGACGTCCACGCGTGACCAAGATGCGATCTGGGTCATTTCATGGTTGAGCCAGATGATTGAATAGGTCCGACCAACGGTCTGCCCTCCAAGTTGCCTAGACTTCATGCCAAATCCACCTGGACTCGTCATAAACTCCCCACATTGTGTTAGGACCCCTGGCACAAGGAGTGGGGGGCAATTGATGAAGGGTGATTTGGCACGACCTATTAAGAAGGGGTCACGTGGATGCAATCTGCTCGAGGGGTGACAACTCAGCCAAAGGAACCCAGTCCATAACAATCGGAGCTTGGGTATTCAGTCACCTCGGCCCAAAAACCACCTCGGCGTAGGGACACCTCGACACCCAATCCAGTTCGGAACTAGGGAACCGAAGTACTAGTTTGGAGCCAAAGATCCGAAATGCCAATAATTTACTCCAAAAGCCTCCCCAACGGACCCCAAATTTATCAGGATCACGACGAGACTCATCCTACCTCCGCCTGAATCGGAGGAAACGATAAACCTTATCAACTAACACATTGCTCTCCTTAAAAAATGGAACAGATCTTATCCGCACGGCCCGGAGATCCCGAAGCTCTTTCGTAAGGTCCATGACTACTACACTACATAAGGGCATCAAACCCCAAGGCAAAGGTACACGTGATTATTTACTTACTAGCACTTAAGCATTCAAGCATTTAGCTTGCATCCACAGTATAGAACTGACTTAAGCATCGGAGCGACCCCGTCGAGTTAGTCACCTCGGATTCTCTGATCTATTATTTTGCATCTTGGTCCAGCTCGCCGCACAACTGGAGTTCAGATCATCTTCCAGCTAGGAGTATATAGATCATGCACCATCACCTTTGTGGTACTAATCTAGGCAAGTTCCACCACTGGTAGTTTTGGAACATTCAAAAAAAATAAAAGAAAAAAAAAGAAACTCAGTTTGTAAGGGAAGAAGAAGAAGAAGAATGTTGCCACTGGCCTCTATATAACTGTTTCTAAACGTTGCTTGTCACCAGAGGTCTGATCACTTAGGGTTGAGATGAGAGAGGGGAAGGGGGAGTTCAAATGAGAGAGAATGGGAATTTTTTCATGTTAAAATCTATACTACTTTAAAAAGCATGAATGGCCTCAAAAATATTTCTGGAATTTTCTAAGGAGAAAATTTACCCCTCTATATTTAAATTTATTGATAAAAAATGAGGGCAAATAGGGTAATCGGTTCTTGATATTAAATGATTTTAAAAGAGGTAATTTTAAGATATTCGATTCTTTCAATTCTCTCTCATTAAATCCAACGTTTAAGTTATTAACTTGCATTCATGTTCTTTGAATCATACACTTAAGTCATTTTTGTCTCTTCTCATCATTAAGTTCTATTAATAAATTAATAATTCCAATAACATAAAATCTTATAATTTTAATAAGTCTACCTAGAAAAAATGGTGTTTTCATCTAGGTGATGGTAAGAAATTAAATCATTTTGGGTCAAATGGGTCAATCCATGTTGCCATGATTAAATATAAAATGAAAAAATAGATAACATAATAAAATAGAAACTAAAAAAGTTGGGAACATTTTTAACATACATATTAAACAATAATAAGTATGATAAATAAGAAATATTTTTATTAATGATGGAATTGGAATATAAAATTTAAGAAAAGATAGAACCCATGAAGCCATAATTGAATAACAAATATTTAAGAAAAGATAGAACACCAAAACACCAAAAATGAAAATGTACAGATTTTTGTCAAAAACAATTGAGAACATTTCTGATGTTATATATTCATTTTATGAAATAAAAATAATTTTTAAAATAAAGTTATTTTTATTTATGATAAAAATGCAATACAAAATGTAGTAGTAGTAATAATAATAATAATTTTTAATCATATTGTTACTTTTATTAATAATAATAATATTATTATTATTATTACTATTATTATTATTTGCTACAAGCATTTAAGTTTATTTTTAATCATATTGTTACTTTTATTAATAATAATAATATTATTATTATTATTACTATTATTATTATTTGCTACAAGCATTTAAGTTTATTTTTAATCATATTGTTACCTTTGTTAATTTTCAATTTCTTTCTTAACTATGGTATATCTAAAATTCAAGTAATTAATATAAAAAAAAAATTTCTTACGTGCAACACATGTGCTTAATTACTAATGCTAAAAAATGTGGAATAAAAAGGGTGCTTTACTTTGATTTTGAAACCGATCCAACCATTATACTCACCATTAAATGAAGAGCTATATTAGTTTGCCTAAAATAATGTCTTTAGGCAATGTGTTAAAATTGTATTGGATGGTGCACTTCACGTGGACCAATGGGTCCACTGGATTCAAGCTCTGAATAGGAGTGCAAGTTGATCGGGTTGAGGCGGGTTTGGGCCAAGCCCGGGCTACCTAAGGACTAAATTCGGGCCCAACTCAAAAAATTAAAAAGCCTAATTTTTTAGGCTCAAACCCAATTCAAGGACTAAAAATTCAAACCCAGTCCGAGTGAAATTTGGAATTAAGCCGATTCGAACTCGAATCGGGCCCGCCCAATTTGCACCCGTAGCTCTAACCTTTAAGGCGCGCGGTTGTTTGAGATGTCATCCAGCCAGTTTGTTTTTTGTTATGTTTTTTTGAAAGCATTCAGATCTCCTTGATCGTACTCAGATGAAGGAAGCCACGTACATTAAAGGTATTCCACTTACATTAGAGATATGCCACGTACATTAAAGAATAACCATGCAAGCTCTGCATGCATTGCAACAACTCAGCTATAGGATAAGCGCTCTATCAATCCTATCCTGAGTTTGTTTTTTGTTTCTGTACCTTATCTTCTCCAGCCTTTCTTTGAATATCAGCATCCAAACTCTTGTATTAAGCTTTTAGAGTTTTAGGTTGAACAACAAACTTTGATACCTGATTGCTATATTTCGTGGTTTGAGTCATGCATAGAGTTGTATGTCTAACTTCTTACAGCTAGCTGTGGTACCCTAAATTAAGCCAATCCTTTTGAGCCACACACCTCCCCCTAGCCCATGAGGTTTAGCTTTAGTAAAACCCATAAATCAAATTTTATAACTTAATTATTTATAAAATGTAAAAAATCATAAAATAAATTACATTTGAGTACCTCGTAACTTCCTTTTTACTGCCTAATAAAGAAAACTCTGATGATGAAAACCCATTATATAAGTAGTATAGTAATTAACTATTTACCAAATTGAGTCAATATGTGCACATTCATAAAATAAACTTCCAAGTTGGGGATATACACAAAGTCACAGATCCAAAAAAAAAACATTAAGTCATTTCACTTCAGCCGTTACAGCTCTTAATAAGAGGTGGTTCCATTGTAGAGAGTTTGGTATAAATAAGGCCTACCTACAACCCACAGAAGGTATAGGTGGTTCCAATTGTAGAGAGTTTCGTCTGCTACTTGTGAATTGAAGCTTGGAGGTTGAGCTATGGAGAGAAAGTTTCTTCGTGGTGTCTTACTATTGTTAACCCTGCTGCTTGCATCTCGTACGTCTCTCCCTTTCTCTCTCTCTCTCTCTAACTGATATGATTTCATGGCCAAGGTTCTGAATAGTTCTCAGAACTATTAGATAGAGGCTGCATTCTTCTGAACCCCTTTTCGCTTCTGAATTTATAAGCAACTCATCTCGTTAATTTGTAGGTTTGTTTCATTTTGTTTATCGCTTTTATGGTTTTTGGTCTTGGATTGAACACTAGTTTGGATCAGATCCGAACAAGTTAATTTCATGGTTGTAATTATAATATTGTAAGCATGACATAGCGAGCTAGCCACTTTAGGAACATTGACATTAACTCTGTGTTTGGTTTTACAGAGAGAAAGAAAGTTGAGGAAAGGTTGTTAGGATTTTTGTAATTAATATTGAACTTTCCTCAACTTTCTGCTTCTCTGATTCTCTCTTTATGATCTGACGAAACACAACCTAAATGATCAATATTTTATAGCATAAAGCAAAGCAGGAAGCAATCTATTCAAAGGGAGGATCCCAAATATATAAACCCAGCTGGTGGATTAAACCCAGTTTGATGGATTTGATGTATATATGATTGTGATTGAGTACTGTTGTTGCAGAGGAGATGGTGGATGCGAAAATGTGCAAGACTCCAAGCCGGCAATTCAGAGGGTTGTGTCTCATCGGTCGCAATTGCGATAATGTGTGCAGGGGGGAAGGCTTCCCGGACGGTGACTGCGACGGGTTCCGTCGCCGCTGCATATGCTCCCGGCCTTGTCGTCCATGATTTCAACAAATATATAGTGCAGCAGCAAAGCTACCTGGCTTCATCAGATGAAGGCGTGAAGCTGAATAAATGTGGTCTACTGAGTCAATAGTGGTCTCAAGTATTAAATAAGGTCGCGAATATCTCTGTTTGTACTTGTAGCAGTGGTCCCTATATGCTTTAATTTGTAGCGTTGCTCTGTTTAGCTTCTGATGAGAAGTTACCTTTCAGTAGATATTAGATTGTGTGTGCCACGTGTTGGTTTAGCCATATCTCTACCTACACATTAATTACGTAGCTGGGTTTTTAAAGATAGTTCATGTGTAGTGCTTTGATCATCCTTCGTTCCAAGTAGCTACTTTCTATTTACAAAAATTCTAATTAATAATTAAATAATTGGTATTTTTACCAAAACCAAGTTACATCCGATTTAATAATTAGATATATAGGATAGGATGCGGGTCTGATCCATTTAATTAAATTATCTGTATCTATACTATTTTTGAATGTGATTTAGAATTATTTTTTGGCTAAAATATTTATATTTTTTAATTTGGTCTAACTTGAATAACCATTTTTTTTCATTTAAATTTTTCTTATTAAATCTTATATTTAATAAAAGTTTAATTCCCATTGACATTTATTGAATTTATAGTCGAGTATAACAAAGGTCTCTTTTCATTTGTGAGGGCATAAAATATAATTTAAACTGTTTCTCCTCATTGAATTCTCTCATTAAGTCATGTTTTGGTTATTAAATTCCATTCTTTCATTAAACCTTATATTAATTAATTATATTAAAAAAATAAGTGTAAAAAAGAATATTTTTTTATTAATGATAGAATTAAATAAAATACAAATTCAAAAAGTGAGTGTGTGAAACTTTTGTTTGATTAAAATATGCCAATTTATTAATTTTAGGGCATTAACTCTGACTTTTTTATAAAAAAAATTTATTAATTACTATATTAAAAAATAAGTGTGACAAAGAATAATTATTTTTATTGATGATAAAAATAAAATATAAATTAAAAATCAAACAAAAAAATGGAATTGTTTTTATCTCTAAAAAATTAAAAATATGAAAATATATTTGGATACATCTCTAATATCACATATTCATCACATTAAACAAAAATAAGTGTAATATATAAGAACAATTTTTTTAAAACATAAAAATGAGTTTATTTAAATTCACCCTACGTTATTTTTATTGATCCGTTGATCACTTCACTTATTTGACGCGTGGTTTTATCCTCTTGTCCATAAGAATGAATTATGTGCAAATTACCTTTCTTCATTAATATAAATGTTATAGTAAGAATTTACTATCCACTGATCCCTGTCTAAGTGTTACTTAATAAACCATGTGCATTAATAAAAAAATAAGATAAATAGTAAAAATTAGGAAAGCCATCTTTGAGACTCACCCTCATAAGGCGCCTGTGCCCGATGGTATTTCTTTAATTTTGTTATGAGAATTGGGATTCATTAAAGGAAATGTAGGAAGACCTTTACAAATCTTGTATAGGTGTACAACCATCTGATTCCTATTCCTAACAAGTGAAGAAGTTGCCGATTTCAAACCACTTTGTTTAACCAACATGGTGTACAATTGTCACTAAAACCATCAGTAACCAATGTGTGGCATACAATTGGTATGGATCAGTCCCAAATTCTACGGCATTGTCTGCAAACTCATCCTTGATATGTTACAGGAAGACCTGCCCACATTCTCTCCTCCTTTGTGGAGTATGGAGAAGTATGAGGATTCTCGCAAGTTTATTTTGCCAAATCTTCGTACTTCTTTGTATGGTGGGCCAGGGGCACCATAATGGCCCAAATTCTACCACACTATCACCATTAGATCTGGTAATTGGGTTGAGTGGGTTGGGTTCGGGTAGGGTTAATACTTTGGCTTGATTTTAGGTCGGGTTGGGTCAGCAAATGCTAGACTCAAACTTTAAATGTCACCACCAGTTGAGGCCAATACTTCGCACAGATTCACCGTGATACTAGTAAAGTGCATAACCGGGGGGCATGTATGTCTCATACCCATACACGGCACGGTACCAAACTCCTTAAAGTCAAGGCAAACTCCTATGCACGATTGGTCCTCCACCACACTCCTCAAAGGTGGAATCGAAGCCTAAGTCGACGCCACCGTGATCAAAGACAAAGTACCTCCTTGACAAGCCGAAGCCGAGGTCGAGGCCGAGGTCCTCATTAGAGAAAGCCACTCAGCGCCTCCCAACAAAGATAGCACACTTTCTTCGGCCGAAGCCGAGGTCCTCAGCTGAGACCTCCACCACAACCTCGAGAGTGAGGGGAAAATGATGTAGGCACTTATGGCAGACCAATAGAACGCCCGCACGTGGCAGAGGGCGGCATACAACAAGGACCCAATAGGGACAGTGCATAAAGCAGAGGCCAGCATGTGACGTGGGCCCAATGGCACGGCCGCACGCGACGACCTCGGATGGTCACGTGAACAAGGCTGGATTGCATCCTAGTCATTCGCACCCATCCACCTCCCGGCGGTCTCAAGTATAAATAGGGGGTGACCCCCCCCCCCCAAGTGAGCATACATAGAGACACTCGACTATTTGGAGTTCAATTACTTCCACTGGGATTTTGTCTTTAGCTATCTCTTCCTATGCAAGACTGACCTATTAGTCCTCAGCCACTACAGACCTCGGACTCATCAATCAGCCCTTGACTCGGAAGCATAAATACCTTGTTGCCCTCGGCCTATCCAAGGCAGCAACAATATATATTCATCATTTTTTTATATTGTAGAAATTCACTGAAACATGAATTTAAATGGCCTAAAAACATAAAAAAAAAATACATGAATTTAGATTTGTGAGTTATACTGTTATGTTTTCTTTTTCTGTTAAATTGGATAGAAACCAAATATTGGATATCCACCAAATATTATATAGTACAGATAAGAGTTTTATGAATGATCTAGAGCCTTTTTTTTAGGGCTGAAATTATTTCTATTTGTCCAAATTTGACTTTAAACATATTAAGGGGTGTTGGACAACACATTTTGTTTATGTGGTAATTGCTTTTGTTTAAAAAAACAAAATCAATCATGTTGTTGAATACCCCTAATAAATTAATAGAATCATCTGAGTTCTAATTTTAATTGGACCAAATATGAAAAACACATGATGTGGGAAAGGGATTTGACCAATAATCAAAACTCCCCTTAAATTTTGACAAAAACCCATTGATTGGTTACCACTTTATTTAGTGGTTTTAAGATTTCTAGGTATTATATATTATAATTATAAATATAAAAGAAATTGAGAAGGAGATAAGTGTGTTTTGGAAACAAATTCTTGACTAATTTTCTTTTGAAAACTTTCCCCTTTTGAATTTGGTTAGTCTCTGGCTTGAGTATTGTATCTTGTTATAGGTGGTTTATAAATTGACAAATACTATTATGTGGGAGCAGTTTTCATTTTATAACATACGAGAATGAATATGACCACACACACAAGCCCCTCTTGTATTAGCATTCATGCCACTTTATAACCGGCCCCATGTATCACTTTATAACCTCCAGCTGAGGCTGATGTATTTCTATATCCTACAGAATGAACAATATTGCTCGAACATACCAAGTATAACTCTTATAAATTGTTGTGTTCTTGTGACGTTGTTTTTTTATTATTATTTTTCTTTATATTTTTATCGCCATCAAACTCTTAAATCATGTTTTTGTGCAACACCAATTTATTTATTTTTTCTTCTACCAACCTCAATTATGAGCGGAGGAAGCACTGAACAAGAATAAAAAAAATCATGACTTAGAAGCCGTTTATAAATGTCTGAATTGATTGAATTGTCTTATTTACATGAGAAATAAAAAAATATGGATAAATGCACTTACCCGGATACATGTTCCCTACAAAAAAAATTACTTAGGTAATTGCATTTACCCAAATAAATAATTTACAAAAAGCGAACAGGGCCTAAAAATAATCTTGAATTTTATGCAGTCACAGGTTATGGGTAAATGCACTTACTTGCATTTCCACACAACCTACCACTAATTCTATGGAAGTGTCCATTGTTAATGATTAATGAGGATTTAGTCATATCAAAAGCTACCGCTCTCATGAGTTCAGCTTCAATCAGGGCAAACTCTGTTCGGACAGCCTTTACTGCCTTGCATTAAGAATATCTTCATACTTGCATGCTTTATTTCAAGGAAAGATATTCCCAATGCAAGGTTGGAAAAGGCTGTTAGAACGGTGTGGGCATTTGCCCTGATTAAAGCCAGTCTCCTCTCTCATTTGTTTTTTTGATAAATTATTTAAACCTCCCCTAATATTTCTTGTAAATATACTTAAACCTTCCCTCTCTTTTCAAATTGGACTAAATCCCCTCCTGCCAAAATTATGTCTAATGAAATCACCAAAACCACTTGAGTGGTTTATTCAAGCAAGATAATAGAGAGATATTGTGCCCATTATTCATTACTGAATAATGAATGAGGCCCACTCCAAATGGATTTAGGATTTTTAAGATTATTAAATTAATTTATCTAAAACTTTGGAAGGTCGTTGCCTCTCTTGGGATTCCAAAGATGAACAGATACTATATCTCAGCTCTGTCATATTGAGAAACACTGAGTGCTGGTTTAGAAATTCAAAGTTAGAAATCATTGGCATGTGTATATAAGGAACCCATCGAAATTTATCTTATCTAAATTGTACCTGAAATGAGATAAAAAATATTTACGGCTTCTAAATAAACAATAAAATATATTGACAGGTTCTGCCTAACAACGAGACTGGATCTGCTCCTCACAGTGGGCACCTCACACGCACCTCACACACATCCTACCGTGTATTGGGAACATCTCCCATACTTTTAAGTTATTATTCATGGGAGATGTTCCTAATGCATGGTGGATGTGCATGTGAAGCGCCCAAGTGTGAAGAACAGATTTGGTTCCCCTAACAACACCAGGTCTACAAGGAACCAAAATCTTGAAAGAATAATTGTTATTGAACTATTGCATCTCCCTATGTCTATTCAGGTATCTCTATTTCTTGGATTTCATTTAAGTCGTTAGACAGACATGGCCAAAGGATCTTAAAGGGATAAAGTTGGGATTTAAAAAAATTTAGGGGGCATTCTTTTTCTGGATTTTGAGAGGGGGGAAAGTTGGTCAATGGGATTTTGATTCCCATTGACCAAGAATCCCATGTTCTTTTT